TAAAATGGTTAAAAATATTAGTGCACATTGGAGGGTTAAAACAGTATGTAGAATTTGTGACTAATAGTTTTGGTAATTTAAGTAAAAAAACATTTCTGCCGTGATGTCAGTATTTATACAGCCACCCACCCACACACATATATGTATGTATATATATATATATATATACTATTTCTATAGGAATATTACTGCTTTAACTTCTGTTCAAAAGGCATTCATTTGTAAACAAAAAAAATATACAGAACCTGTGTTTTAATCTACATCGCAGTGAATGTATGCCCATACTTTTTTCAAATAAGTAAGAGTAATTTTAACAATACACACTTTTTTCTAAACATACAAACAAATTCTTACACAAGGTTGTGGTTCTCACTGTTCAATACTTTTAGATGTAACTCGTCAGCTTGAAGAAACATTCTCCTATCAGTTAATCTCTTCCACACTATGTTAACTATACGCAACTCACTTAGCCAGCCATGAGCTATGCTTTATAAAAGTTTTGCAGGTACAGAGATATGTAACTCAAACAATTTCTCAGTGGTGCTGTTAAGTTGCAATTTTTCTGCCACTTACAAACCTAATGTGGGTAGTGCTGAGCTTGAAAGTTGTCATGGCAGTCATGACCTGGTTCTTCCTCATGAGTGTTTATTTTAATTTTGATATCTTATTTCCATTAGAACATAGTATGAGCTCCTTGTGGGTGGTCCATAGTCCAACTGATTCATCCATGGCACAAGTGCTATCAGTCCCACTATGAAGACATGGAGTGGTTGAAGCATCATAACAACTGAATTTAATATTTATAGATTGTTCTTGGTATATTGTATGCGAGAAGATACATTCAAAGATGCTGATTTTACTGACCCTACAGTTATATTTGGTACATATTTTTCACTTTCTAGATAAAAATAACGTTGTTAAAAAATACAGTGTGTATTTTACTATTTCATTGCCAGATATATGTTATATTAGGTATTGTAGCCCTGGGCAACTATTATTCAGTACATATGTTTAATATTACAGTGAACATAGTATGTCTGGAGGGATGAAAATACATCCTAATAGATTTTATTTCTAATCTAGTGTTGATTGTATCTACAGTATAATAAAGTTGCAAAACAATTTTGTTATAGCTATACTTATTAGTTTTACACCATAACTGCTTTAACTGCATATCTCAATATCCCATAGCTGTGACAGGAGGAAGTGAAACACCCAGGGGATGTAAATATAATATCTTTCTCTTCCTTTCCATCTTCATCACTTTAAGACAAACCCCAACAATTAGAATTTAAAGGAGATTATCTTTTCTTTCTTATCTGTAGGATCTTTAAGTTACCTCTTTGTACATCAACTTCTTTTGTTTAGGGAACTGTTGAATCGAATAATTCAAATGGTATAAACATGCAATTTTGAAACTAATAAATTTTGCCATCAAAGAATCATTTCTTATTTAGTAACCTCAATCCACCTGCCAAAATCTTGATTAAAGATATAATGAAAAAATCATTGACCCCAGTCAGAGGATCTTATATTTCATTTTACACTTTATAAGGATGAACTGCTTAATCTAATGCAGTAATGTGTTGCTGCCAGTGCTAGTTATGACACCATGGGTGACATTAAACACCAATGTCGGGGATTCCCAAACTCACAATCCACTTGAGTATCCAGGAAATATTCTGGGACACAAGCTTAAGTGGGGAAAGAGGGAATTACTCTCCTAATATATAATAGTGCTCATATAGCTTCCTTTTTTCCTTTGTTCAAAAACATTTAGGATCACTATTAATTACCATTATAAATAAAAGTATATTTATGTTTTATTATGTCTTGACTACAACCCACCACAATACATCTTGCACTCAGCCAGTGAGCTGCAACCCACAGTTTAGGAACCACTGATCTACATTTTGGGGCCCGGCATGGCCAGATGGTTAGGGTGCTCAACTTATAATCTGAGGGTCACAGGTTTGAATCCCGTCCCATCAAACATGCTCGCCCTTTCAGCCATGGGGGGTTATAATGTGATGGTCAATCTCACTATTCTTTGGTAACAGAGTAGCCCAAGAGTTGGCGGTGGGTGGTGACTAGGTGCCTTCCCTCTAGTCTTACACTGCTAAATTAGGGACAGATAGCCCTTGTGTAGCTTTGTGCAAAATTCAAAACAAACAAACCTACGTTTTGGATTCCAAATTATTTCCCGATCATATGGTAGTGTAATGCCACTATAAGTAGGCATATAGCTGTAGAGTATGACACAACCCTTTCTTAGAAAAGATATTTGTATGGTGAAATACAAAAGAGATGCAAACCCAAGGGCACGCCAATTTTACGGACTGAAAGTACTGGCAAAGGAAGATCAATTTGCCCACAAGAATATAAACCACCAAAACAGCATCCTACCACATGCAAGACTACTGTTACCAGTGCCAAAGTTTGTACATGTGACCTTCAAGAACATTTCTCAATCAACTGTGCACAAAGTAATTCACAAAGATCTAGCCACCTGTAGAGAAGCATTAACCATTAGTGCACAAGCTGCTTCCCAGGAAAATGTGCACTAACGATGGAGGTTTGTTGACCTGGATGTACTTGGAAGACTGTAAGAAACAGGTGATTTGAGAAAGACATTACAAGGACTTTCAAACAAGATACAAAGAATGTACAAAACATTTTTCTTTAGTTTTTATTGTTACTGAAGTTTTTTCACGTAAAAAGATATTTAAACTTCACAAAGTATATAGCCCAGTAAAGATGAACTCTTAACTACTGTAAGGAGAATAATGCAAGATGAAATTCCTGCAGAGAGAATGAAACTGGTGTTCATGCTATCATATTCTTCAGTATACCTATAGTCATTGAATTGTGATTTCTATACATTTGGTTTGTTTAATCTTTTCCAGCTCATTATGTCATGTTTTATAGGAGGGCAAATGACATCAAGTTTTACCAAAACATTAAATGGTTGTCGTGCTTTATTATTTAGTGTTTCAGGTAAGATATTTCTGAATTGCAGTTATAAGCGTCAATAGGAAATGGCCTGTACAGTTCAGCAGGCTCAGAAGAGTTAAACATATTCTTGTAAAATGAAGGGTCTGTGGTCTCTAGAAAAAATTATGTTCCAGGCCTTGTGCTGCCCTTGGAGGTACTTCCATCATTGTTGATTGTGTTCAATCTGATGGACATGATTATGTACTATTATGTGATACCACAAGTTATACGACTTGAAATTAGCCCTGTTGATGTTGTTAACTGGTTTGAACTCATAATAACATGCATTCCAAAAAGTCATGGTTTAACACCACATTGCTTGTTTATCTAACCTGATGAGATTATTTCTAGGATGCCAACCCAAGTGTCAACCATGGTCTAGTATCTCTCTGTTTTTGCTTTCAGAAAGTAGAATACTGCTTCTCAACTTGCCTTACCCTATAGGCTTAATCAGGTTTCTTGATAAATTGTTGATTTTTTCCATTTTTTGTTAGGAAAGAAATAATACTACCCACGACCTTATTTTTCGAACAGTAAGACTTGACTTAAAACAACTTCAGGCTTCTTCTTTGGTGGCAGTTTGGTTTACATCAGCACATTTTGAAAAATATCTGTTAATGAGTTAGGAAAATTCAAAACTATACAGGAAGTTCTTCCATAAGATGTTTCTTAAATATAACTTCTCCACATAGTTGATGTACTAGAATGAACCACCTAGCAACAGAGGAGAGACCACAAGCCTTCCTTATGTTAAAAACCTGTTTAAGTTATAAAAACTGCTATTGATCGTTAGTACATTAGTAGCAGATCTGAGACCAAGAACAAAGCTAAACATCCATGATTAGGCTTCACTGATTATCTTTCTAAAAGGTTCGTGTTTATAACATAGTAATGAAGTTTAGTAAATAATGTTGTGTTATTAATCACTACACTTTTATAACAAATTTTACAGTGTTGTGAGAAACCCATGTACAAATATGTAAATGAACATTTCTTGAAAAAACGTTTTCAGAAATAAAGCAAATCTAACATCGGATTTTAATTTTTGCAATAAGCCACGTGAATGCCTATCAACAAGCAGCAACAAAATCAGAGTGAAAACTATTATATAAATCAGCCAAAATGAAACATGTCAGGAAGAATATTCATGCATCTGGATGTCTGAATGTGGCTAATCATAAAGATCATGATGTAAACATAACTCTACATTGGAAGTTGTGAAAATTCATATAGGAAGTCAAACAAATTTTACCCCCCCCCCCCATTGTGTTTTATCATTACATCTAGCAACTGTA